TCAACCCGATTTGTGCTAAATATATCGCCAATGAGGCTGATTTTTTTTCTCTAGTGCATGGAACAACCTTGTCCTCGTTCTCTAGATTCCTCCGGTGGAATGGCACTTTACTATGCTACTCGTGGGAAAAGAGGTTTCTTATGATATAATCTTCCAAAACAAGCATACAGCCATTAGTGGCATAAAGAGCATTCTGAATTCCATCTGTGCTTCGATCTTCCCCGATATCATGTAAAAAGTGTTGGGAAATTAATGTGTTATAGTCCTAATCACCCTCTTATTATTCTTAGTTTTCCTCATCCAGTTTTTGGTGCAGTTAAAATCTGGCCAAGGGAGACAGATAATAGTTTACCTGATTGTGGAATGTTGATTGAATTGAACTCCGCCGATAATGTCTTGAAAGTCAATTGTCATTTTGTACTTTTTCCCTAGAGTTTTCAGTTTCGATGGATAAAGTGATGGCAATCATTACTAATGCCTATGGTGATTGTGTGGAAGCTGTCAAGATGCAGCAAAAAGTATGATAAACCTAAAAAAAGCCTTTGTTGCAAAGTCATTTCTCCAATCTTACTAGACAATTGATTGGATTTTTTATGGCCAATGCATTCTAAAATTTAACCAAATTGCATGAACATTTGGGCTTGCAAATTCAAGAGAATGGTATAATTGAAAGACCTCATTATCTCCATCGATCACCATTATATGATAATGCTTTCTTCGATTTCTTATTTTAATTTTAAATACCTATTCATCATTGCCAAGCAATCTTAATTCGCTATGATTTTCTTTCTATCAGCCATTACAGAAATATTAGATCACAAAGGTTAAGATGTTTGTTCCAATGGGTGTAGTCGGTTTGCTAATGACATCTTTATTTATCAAAAGCTCAAGGGGAAAAACCGCAAGTTTTCTCAACAAAAGGTGGTATTTTACTTAAGGAAAGTTTTAATATACTAGATTCATTGTTACCTACCAAATGCATGTTTTGGCTACTCAGATTTAGATACTTACTACCATCCGATTCTTCTCTCCCTAGTTGTCATTAAAAATTCCAAATATGTATGTATTATAATTAACACAAAGGGTTAAGAAAGCATATGATTATAAAGTTTCTAGTTCAAATACTATTAACTCACTAATTTTGAATCCAGACTACTGGATTTCAAAAGTTCGAATTCAAATGATTTATGATATGTGATTGAACGTTTATATAGTGTTCAATAATTTTATATTTTTTTAATATGATATTAAAATTCACATTGTTTATTTATTTTTTATTAATTAGTATCTTTTTATTTGAACAAATAATTAGTATCTTTCCTTTCCTTCTTCTCGACCTACCTCACTCTAAATTTAGTTTTAGATTATAATAATAAATTAAACTATTTTTTATTAATTTAAGATTTTATACAATTCATTGTCAAATTAAATATTTTACAAGGTATGCAAAAATCAAAATTTTGAAATATAACAAAATTATAAAATTAATTTCATATGTCTTTATATAGAGCTGGAGGACTAACAAGGAAATTATATTCTCTAGGCGAATAACAATATACGAAAGCAGCTAGAAAAACATCTAGACCAATATCATATCATAAAAATATGTAGTACCTTTTCGCTTCTTAATATAAATATATACGAAAAAGACTACATATATATACTCTTCCTTTTGGATGTATTATAAATATGCACGACATAATTCTTTCGAGTATCTCAGCATATGAGGAGTTTTTGTTGAATATAAAGAAAAAATATTAATGGAACACAAGTCCGAACGAGACAAAAAGTGAAGGAGGAAAAATTTTAATAAAATCACTTTAATCATCGACTTTTTGGTAGAATCTTTACGTTTAATTTAGAAATAAAAAGATGTTGAATGGCCTTTTGTCCTCTTATTAATCTTATACATAATTGTTTACAAAAACAAAGCTACTTAACAAAGAAGACAAAATGTTGAATATCTGAATTGTAAAACAAGATTTTGAATTTCATTTGCCTTGTCATTTAAAACTCCTTTGAAGACATAATCTCATAAATTTGTAATATACATACATATATATATATGTATGTGCGTATAATATACAGTTAAAAACTGTTTTTATTATGTAACATAAGTTGTGAATCATGTTATTGCTTCTATTCTTCTATACTTTACTTGGCCAAGCCTCTTTAAGCTCTGTTGCAGAAACTGCCTTCTTTTTCTACACCTCATTCTACCCTGACACTTGCAGCAAAGGAAGCTTGCTTTGCCTGAATTCGACTTCCGTAGCCAACGGCTACCTAAACCTCACCCTAGATCTTAAACTAGGAAATTCGAGCTCACCCACAACTCTGCCAATAAACAAAGTTAGCCGAGTTCTATACCCTCATCCTGTGATAGCTTGGCACACACTTATCTCGACTACCTTTACTGTCAGGATTTTGATCTTTCCAAATTCTAGTAGTCCCGGAGATGGAATGGTGTTTATAATTGCCCCTGATAATAGCTCTTTGCCTCCAGAAAACTATGTATTAGAAAACAGAGAATGAATAATCTGCTATTTTTTTTATGAATGATGTAATGAAAAATATAAATAACTGCATAAAAGAGCAAAAAGATAAAAACAGCTATAACAGAATATACAACCGAAGATATCACTAATTCTAATTCTGATCTTAATACTTCCCCTCAAGATGGAGAGTACATATTAATTGCACCCATCTTGCTTAGAAGATTATGAAACTATGTAGAAGGAAGAGCCTTTGTCATTAAATCCGCTAACTGATTATGTGAGGAAATGTGCATGGTCCTCAGTGTTCCATCTTGAATTTTCTCCCTGACAAAGTGACAGTCCAGTTTAATATGTTTTATTCGCTCTTGATATACTGGATTGGCAGCTATGTGCATTACAGCTTGATTATCACAATATAACAATGCTGATCCTTAGTGTCTCACTTTCAAATCTCGTAACAGATTTAGGATCCATACTATTTCACATGAAGTATTGGCCATTGACCGATATTCTACCTCTACGGATAATCTAGACACAATCCGTTGTTTCTTTGATTTCCACGAAATGAGGGATGATCCAAGAAAAATGTAGTAACCAGTCAAGGATCTCTTTGTGTCAGGACAAGTACCCCAATCAGCATCCGAGAAGGCTTTAACTTGAATGACTGATGATGAAAGAAAGTGAAGACTTTGTCCAGGTGTTTTCTTGACATACTGTAAGATGCATAGCGCAGCTTGAAGATGATTTGTCCGAGGAGCAACCAAAAACTAACTTAACCTATTGATAGAGTAGCAAATATCAGGATGAGTGATAGTCAAATAGAGTAATTTACCAATTAATCTCCTATAACTTGTGACATCTTTAAGAATTTCTCCATCATCTTTTGACATTTTAAGATTGGGTTCTATAGGAATTGAAGAAGGTTTGCATCTCAAATATCCAGTCTCAGTTAACAAATCGAGAACATATTTTCTTTGACAGAGTGTGATACCATCATTGTTTCTTGCAACTTCCAGTCCAAGGAAATATCTGAGAGGCCCTAGATCTTTCATTTTGAATTTATGTCTCAAGGTGGATTTCAAATTATTGACGGCTCCTTAATTATTGCTAGCTATCACAATGTCGTCAACATATACCAAAAGAGCCAGAAAACTACCTTTTTTATTTTTAATGAATAGTGAATGATCACATTGTGACTGATGAAATCCTTCTTGACTCAGAACGGTAGAGAACTTGTGGAACCATTGTCGTGAAGCTTGT